GAGTTGTCTTTAGCCAACGAAAATTGAAGTTAAAGNAACTCGTGAACAAATCAACCCAAATCGCTTAATGCTCTTCATTCTTTGTAACCTCAAACGACAGTTTAGGGCGTTAGATTGTTTGTTGAAGTAGTTGATGCCACGACAGTGGGTCCTCTTGAATCTATGGTTGAGTTCTAGATTGGTTCATAACTTGATAACCTGAATAATTGCTTGGTTTTGATGTCCTAATCCCTGAGATATCTCTTGACCTAACTCTTTCTTTCTATTGTTTTCAACCGAATTTTACTCTTATTTGCTTTAGTTAATCGTGACAATTAAACCTCTTTTGATCGCTTAGCTGAAATTGTATCTCAAAAGATTAGAGTGTATTGCTGGTCCCTTTGAACGAACCTCACTATTCTACATCGAATTAGTGATCCCTAGGTTTAAACTTATAAGACCCGAAAAAGGATAATCACCAATGAGCCTATAGTAGATGAAGGCATGGTAGAGGAGCAAAATTAGGATGCAAATGAAGATATGAATGATGACCAAACAGAGATGTGTGAAGAGGAAGCTCGTGTGGAAGCTCTTGTAGCTGACATTGTTGATTCAGAAGACGAGGATGATGTATATCAGAGAACTCCACCTCAATCAGATTGTGAGGAAGGAGGGGAAGGAGATAACTATAATGGTAAAGGCTGATTATGATGGTTTAGGCTAGATGGTGTTTGCTTTTGAGATGGGGAAGACTGATTATTATGGTGAAGGCTTGATGGTGTTTGTGTTTCTGTTTTGGTTTCTCTTTTGCCTCTCTTATTAAGACATATGATCGGCTTTTGTAATGCCAAAAAACTTTGATTTGGTTTCTCTTTTGCTTCTCTTATTAAGACATATAATCGACTTTTGTAATGCCAACAAAACTATGATTTGGTTTCTCTTTTGCTTTTCTTATTAAGACATTATCGGCAATATGCTTTTGGCAATCTACTGCTTTTGTAATGGCAAATATTTTTGATTTAACTCACTATTTTTGTGATCTTGTTACAACAAAAGAAATCCAAAACACTTTCATAAGTCATTGCATTTGTCTAACAGAAGCACACTACAAATTCATCAACACATTACAAAGTCATCAAGACATTACATTTGTCGTTAAAACCCACTACAAATGCTAATTCTCTCAATCTTTCAAAACACTACACAACCATAACTCGTTGCATACTTAAGCCACGAAGTAGTAGTAAAAAACAGCCATGAAAATACCACATACAAGTATGTTCTTCAAGCTATGTATCTCACTTACAACTTCTTTGACATCTTTCTCACAACAATCAACCGCATTTTTGATTTCTTCAATCTCTTTAACACATCCAAGAACACTTGCTTTTATATCTTTCATCTCTTTCTCAAAGCAACTTACGACTATTTCACAAGTTCTTGTCTCAAATTGCAGATTCTCCATGTCTTCTTTGAGCTCACTTATAATGTG